GTAGCGTGCGGTAGATCTCGGCAAAAATTGAGTGAAATAATGGAACAACTTTTCGCTAGTAAGTGACTATATAATATACATACGTGTAGTAAACCGATCATTTATGAAATTCACTTAAATTAACTAAATTATATATTTTTCTTGCATTTTAGCTTTTATTTATTACTTGTCAAAGATTAGATGTCAAAGAATTTAGATACGTTAATTTGACTTACCTGCTTCAGTAGCGTATCGGATGTTTGTGTTAATAAATACTTATTATAACTTATCTATTTTTATTAGAATTATATATTTTTATAACAATTTTAATAACTACCAACATTTATTCACAACGTAAAATAAAACAACAAATTATTGAGTCTACCCCACGTCTACCCTACATCATAGTTTTACATTTTTTAAATAAAATTAGAACGACACTGATAAACCGGAATTTAAGTCGGCCATATTTGAGGCCCATCGCGGTGTACCTAAGATTTTTGATATGCTCCTTCCTTAGTCTTCTTATTCAAAGTTGCATATAAATATTGCAATAACAATTGGTTAAATCATAAATTCGACATATTGAAAGGTAAAATTTAGTTTTTTTTCCATAGCAACTGTTAAAATTGCCTTATATGTATCAAAAATAGTAGATAAAGTAGTACTTTAACCTTGATATTATCAAATGATAATCAAAACGTTTTTCAAACTATAATTTGTTATATGTGTTTTAATTAGACAATTCCTTTTGTTGGTGAAAGAAACTGCAAATTTTCACTTATATTGATTTATTCCCTATACCAGGGAATGAAAAACCCCTATACCAAGTTAAATTTAACTTATTAAATAAATTTAATAAGTTAAATTTAAAAAAAAAAATGAAATTCCCTATACCAGTTTAAGTGAAAAAAATTAGTTTCAGAATGAAAGAATACTAATAATAATGGCTAATTTAAATTTTCCGCCAGCCAGAATGTGCGATAATGTCTTACGATACGTTTTATACCTATCTCTTTCTTTTTCATATAAAGCACACATAATAAAGAAAGATAGCAATAAAGACGTACGTCCTGCCATGGTCCTGCTAATTGGTTTCAAAATTGTTATTCTGAGTTGCGCCACGGGAACGCGGTCCCACTCTTTACCATGAGATTTGTCAGTCTCTTTTTATTTGTTTGTCTATTAAATGCTCAAAACTGACAACTAAAGAGACAGCTTTATTAATTTGTCAAATTACATAGAAACCAACGCCAACCCAGCACAATATTTTTTCTACTCGTAATAAATTCCTTGAAATAATAATTTCTGAATATTTTTTAAAACGTAACTCGCTATGCTCTAATGCTAAATTGCATTATCGTATCCCGCAAATTGCATAATCTTTTCGGTCAATGATAAAATACCATTTCATCGTCTTGTATAAAAATAACTATTACTTTATCAATTTTTTTTCTTATAAACTCTTTGTATTTTTTCTGTATCGGAGAAATCAAGCCAAACAAAGATATATCTATCATATTTTGAAAGTACCAGTTACCTCAGTCGCTAAGTAAGAAAACAAACTTACGTGAGAGGTAAATAATATTTTCGGTAGTAGAAAGTCGACGCTTCTAGAATGATAATAATGATGTGGCTATCGAGAAATATTAACAATCCCCAGCCTGTCTGCCTTTCATAAATCTATTTTAATGTCTCGTTTATACATACTCAAACAAAGATTTTCCTAGATATTTTCATTTACATGATTTGACCTGAGTAGATCTTTATTACTTGATAAAATCTACTATAACAACTAGTTATCATTTTGTGTCAGTTAAAACAAAAAAATTCTCAGAAATTTGCCGAAAATGCAAACTTATCCTACATCTGCAAAACTGGACCAACTATTGTCATGAGAGAAATTACTGTAGGAGCTTTTCGAGATATAACTCCACAGATGCCTTGTAAAAAGAAATGATCCTTTTGAAAAGACATTTATTTTATGCAGTTAACAGGAAAGGAAGCATTTCGAGCATTTGATTTCATCTAGATAATTTTTGTCACATAATTATAGGTTTATATCTAGTTAATTCTGTAATAATTAAAATATGTTTTAAACGTGTATCTTTTTATTATCGTTGAGTATTTTGCTTTACAATCTTTAACTTTTGTTAAATTAACAAAATGTATATCACAGCCACCCTAGATTTTTTCAAATAATAAAGATCTACTGACGCAAAATCATAAAAATTAAAATATCTAGGAAAATCTTTGTCTGAGGGGTAGGCAACCTTAATAATATATTGAAGATATATAAAATCCCCATTGAACACCGGAATAATATACTGGGTGTTCCATTTAAAATAAAGAAGTAACTTATTTTTTAAAGTGACTAATGTTCGAACAATATTTTGAACTAAAATTTGAATATAAGTACATGCATAATAAATGTTGATTACTAAAAAATGTGGATTAGGCCGTTTTTCTTTATGAATTTATTTGCAAAAGTCCAATCGCCAATATTAATAATTGCATGAAAACTATTAATGAAACAAATTTTGTAGCTTAATAAAGCTTTCATTTTTATTTAGGATACAAAATTAATTTAATAAAATATGAGCTAATTTAAACTGTCAAAAATAATACCCCATTTATACTACACTAGCGTGTACCAGCGACTTCGTTCGCGTCGAATTAATGATTTGTAATGGTGATGATAAAGCAAAGCAAGAATTTCCATTAACATACAAACTAAATAAAATTTTCTCACATTTATGTCAGTATGAGAAAAAACAATATGGCGATATTATTATATAACTTGGTAATATTTGAGGGGTAGTTTCATCTCGTTGGAATTTGACTTTCGAATAAGCTTTTTACGTCAAGCAGTTTCAGCAGAATCGTGGTTAAGAAATTAGCCAACTTTTTTGAACACCCTGTATGATTTTTTAAAAAATTTCAAAATATGTAAAAAACCAAATAAATTATGCTTGTCCAAGCGTTTTCCCGAAAGACTAACCGTTTTTTAAATAACAAATATTGTAATATTTGAGGGGCGTTTTCACCCTCTTTGAATTTGAGATTCGAGAAACCCCTCCTTATCGAACACCCCACAGTCAATCCATTTACCAAAAATCAGCTTTAAACGTCAAGCAGTTTAAGCAGAATCGTGATCACTCAATGGTCATATTTTATGAAACACCCTGTATAAATTTATAAAAAATCTTAAAATATATAAAACAACAAAATAAAATATACGTGTTTAAGAGTTTTTCTGAAAAACTCACCGGTTTTTAAATAAAAAGTATTTTAATATTTGAGGGATAGTTTCACCCCCTTAGAATTCGAGTTTCGAAAAAATCCCTTCTTATCGAATCTCTACACCCTAAAGTCAATCTGTTTTCCAAAAATCAGATCGTGATTAATCAATGACCAGACTTTTCGAAACACCCTGTATACATTTTTAAAAAATCTTAAAATATGTAAAAAACAAAATAAAATATACGTGTTTAAGGGTTTTTTCGGAAACTTGGCCGTTTTTTAAATAAAAAATATTGTAATATTTGAGGTTTCACCCTCTTGGAACTGGAATTTCGAAAAATCCTTTCTTATCGAACCTCTACACCCTAGAATCAACCTGTATGCCAAAATTGAGCTTCTTACGTTGAGTGGTTTGGGCAGGATCGAGATTAATCAGTATGTCAGTCACTTAAGGATTTTCTATATTAGTATAGATTATTTTTTTAAATCAGGTTAAAATATAATAAGTACGTACGAGAACAATTACACTAAATTAATCTATTGATCATTCTGGAATTTCACTTGATATCATATTTGCTGATAACATTATGTTTGGCAATGATTTTCTGTCATGATTCACTTTCTGTAATATACCTGTATAAGTATTTGGCCAAAATGTAAATTCATAATTTTTAAAAACACCGTTTTCGTCTTATGAAAATGGAGAGAAATTTTAATTCGATTTCATGACCTACTTAATTATATGTATTTACATGTGATGGTTTCTTAAACATGAAGTAGGTATTTACCGGCTAATCATGCCGGTTAATAAATAGATATACACAAATACCGGGTGCGTCTCGAAAGTGGCTCACCCCTATAACTTTTTTATTTTTTCAGGTAAAAAAACGAGAGTTGGTATGTCAGTATGTGTCATAAATTAGGATTGATTGACGTATTCAATTGTTTTTTGGTCACTTCCTGTCTCACCGGAAATAACTACAACTTTCCAATCTAGAGTTGCCATGGCTTTGTTAAAAGCACTAATTTTTAGCCAAGGAGCCTTGAAAAAATAAATTTGATCATCTAAAGTTTTTCGTGCCTTGTCCTGGCCCTTTAAAAGATGCCCAAATCGTTTTTTTTTAATCATAACTCAATTTTTTCAAATGGAACAAGCGTGGGTCATTAGCATATTTGAAAAAAAACATTTTTTTAAGAATAATTTGGTACCACACACTTGGTATTTCGAGTCAAATTGTCCTTATGAACCGCTTGTTACAATTTAAAATAAACCATATGCGAAAGTGTCAAAAGTTGACATATGATATGTCATTCTATCCAGAGTGTCATTTTCTATCGAATAAAGTAAAAATATACCAAGGATGCCATTTAAAATTCAAAAGTTGTAGTTATTTCCGGTGAAACAGGAAGTGAATAAAAACAATTGAATACGTCAATCAGGCCTAATTTATGTCATATACTAACATACCAAATTTCGTTTTTTTTATCTGAAAAAATAAAAAAAGTTATAGGGGTGAGCCACTTTTGAGACGCACCCGGTATATAAATTCATTCAAAAAATACAAATGTTCGCAAATTTACTGTGGCATTTATATTGAATACTCCTGCAAATTTTCATAGAAATGTGCTAAAAAATATTTTAGAAGCTCATAAGCAATAATTATAAAATAATTTTTAATTTACACAGAGCGTTTCATCACCGACTTGAACGTAGGACAATGCATAAAAGTATGTAAATTTAAAGTTTATTCGTTAGTTAAAATAAATTAAACACTTACCGCAATAAGAATAATCCTCATGATGGCCTACCAAAAAAAAAAATAATCAAGCGAAACACTCGCGAAAAAAATTGGGAACGCGCACTCGAGATTTGATCACCGAATCACCATTGCCGGCCTAACAGATATCGGATATGGAAACTCGATGTCAGGTACTGAACGGATCTGAAAAAAAAATACTGATGATTTCGAGTACAGAGACGGATATCGACTGGCCGTACTGCCGAAGAAGAAGAGGCTGACCAAGACCACCAAGACGCTCTTCGTCGAAACGAGGAGGGATCGGCCTGGGGAAGGTGTGGGAAGAAAGGGGCTCCTGCGAGAAAGTGGCTTTTGGCTTGCGGCTTCCGCTTAGCAGGAGATGGCTAGCGAAGGCGTTTGTATCTTTTTAACCGGCGACAGTCGACCAGTCTGCGATTTGCTGTATTAGTCTGTTCGACGATTAAACCCTTGACAGTGATAGATATGTCTGTCATTATATTTCTAAGAAAAATGTTGAGAGTTCTTAGTGGTACGACAGATAAGTCCTAAGGTTTTGGTTGCAAATCCACACAATCCAAGACCAACAGACAACTTTAAAGCAGCCATCAACACGCTCTGAAAAAACCTGCGCCAACTAAAAAAAAAGGATCTCTCAGTCGAAATAAATATGACTTTGACCCAAAAGATTGGCGCTTTTCAATAGGGCCAAGAACGACGTTTCTTTGCCCAAAGCATTAACTATCTTTTCATAAGCTTTAAAAAATTACTTTAGAAAATAGAATAATCTATCTGTCCAAAGCGTGACCATGTTCTGATGCGTGTCAAATACTCGTCAGCGAGTAATGGCAGTATATATGTATGTAAGGTTTTGGTTGGTGATTTTCATATTGACTTTTGCTTGATTTATTAACTTCTTCGTAAAAAAACTTATATTTAGGCAGACAGTAATCAATGGATAAATATTTTCCTGTTATTTCAATTGATATTAGACCAGTATCGATTAAAAAATAACCAAAGCTCTGATATGATCTGAGTGCCAGTTTTTCGGATTATCATAAAACGACTGGAAAAATCCTGTAACAATCGCATGTACCGAACTATATTTGCGTAGATTATCTATAGCCTGTTTGATTTGTTAATCTGATTAATTACTCTTTTATATTACACTTATCGTACTGTAATTATTAATTGGGGTTGTTACTTACGTTATACTGGTGTTTTTCGACGTAACAAGTATGCGAATATTAATATTATCAAAAATATATCGATGGCCAGAGCTGCAAGAAGTCAGTTTTAAAAAGTCAACACCCCAGACTTAGGATTCTGGGTTCACCAGTTAATAAACTATACATTTTTAGTTATTCTAGCTTGCCTAAAATATGTTCTGTAAATATGTCGTCAGCTCTTAGGCTATATATAATACGTTTTCAATAACAAAGACGTTATATATCCATTTTTTTTTGTGAAAAGTAATGCGGGAACTAGTACTATCAGCCTTCTTTTTTATCGATAATTATTTAATAATTATTTATCAACAATTATTAACGTATATTAGTTAAACAAGTATATTTCACATTTGACTGCACCTTTACACACAGATAACAATTGTATCTAAAAAGCTCCAATTAATATAATCATTTAGTCAGCGACTTTGACGTGTGATGTGAATTATCCCTGAATTATAGCAATGTGGTTTATAATTCTACAAGTTATTCTATGCTGGATAAATGTTGCTTTGCTTTATGATACCTGCACTGAACCAAATTCAGATTACGAAGATTTTGTAAGTAAAACTACAAAATATTAGTATTTTAAATTTCGAAGAAAATGTTTGAATTTTATGAGAAGAAATATTCGAAGTATTCGTAGTATTAATGAATAATAATGGGATCATATTAATTAGTTCTCTTTAACAAAAAATATTTACATAAACTGCTTTTTATCTTTTAATGAAATAAGCGAACTATACCGACAATATTAGTATCTGTACTCTTTGAAAATTTGTTACATCATTAAAAAAAATCTAAAATGTCAATATTCCATGGGTATAGTGATAAACGAGGTCTAAATTATAAGAAAATGCTTTTTCTACGAAAACTTGGAGAGATAGGTAAAAAATGGTATAATACAATTTGATAGACAATTAAATTGTGCATCTCATTCTCGTAAAACATACAAGGTGTTATTGCCGTTTAAACCTAGTAATTATTTAAAATAAATTTTCACACACTCTGTATAAGATAGTATTTTGTTTATTATTGCAACACAATATCTGATCAATAAATAAACTTCAGTAAATATTTAGTATTAAAAACTTCGATATCCTTGGAGAAATGAAGCCTTCAAATCTTTACTGCAATTTCATAAAATTGAAAATATTTCAAAAACGGTAAGGTTTAAGTGTGATAAACCTTAATCAAGTTTACCTTTATTTCAATCGTTGAATCTAAAAATAGAATAATATTCAGGGTGTTACATTTTGGAACACCCTGTATGATTTTTTAAAAAAATTGAAAATATGTAAAAAAACCAAATAAATTATGCTTGTCCAAGCGTTTTCCCGAAAGACTAACCGTTATTTAAATAACAAATATTGTAAAATCTGAGGGGCGTTTTCACCCTTTTGGAATTTGAGATTCGAGAAACCCCTCCTTATCGAACCTCTACACCCCACAGTCAATCCGTTTGCCAAAAATCAGCTTTAAACGTCAAGCAGTTTAAGCAGAATCATGATTACTCAACGGTCATATTTTATGAAACACCCTGTATAAATTTATAAAAAATATTAAAATATGTAAAACAACAAAATAGAATATACGTGTTTAAGAGTTTTTCCGAAAAACTCACCGGTTTTTAAATAAAAAATATATTAATATTTGAGGGATAGTTTCACCCCCTTAGAATTCGAGTTTCGAAAAATCCCTTCTAATCTCTAGAATCTCTACACCCCAAAGTCAATATGTTTTCCAAAATTCAGCTTTTTACGTCAAGCGCTTTAAGCAGAATCGTGATTAATCAATGACCAGCTTTTTCGAAACTCCCTGTATACATTTTTAAAAAATCCTAGAATATGTAAAAAAACAAAATAGAATATACGTGTTTAAGCGTTTTTTCGGAAACTTGACCGTTTTTTAAATAAAAAAATATTGTAATATTTGAGGGGTGGTTTCACCCTCTTGGAACTGGAATTTCGAAAAATCCCTTATTATCGAACCTCTACACCCTAGAATCAACCTGTATGCTAAAATTGAGCTTCTTACGTTGAGTGGTTTGAGCAGGATCGTGATTAATCAGTATGTCAGTCACGTAAGGATTTTATATATCAGTATAGATTTAAGATCTTTATTAATTAATTGCAAGATGTTGCGCATCTACTACTGCAATTATATGTAAGATATCTTTTCATGTAAGTATCGACTATAGTGTCGCAATTATCCGCTAAACACTGTTTTCAAAATAAAAAGAATTTAATTTGCAGACGTTCAATCATGGAGTTTTACACTTTCTGCCCAAGAAATTGTGCTACAACGTTTTAAGCTTTCTATCAGAAATTAGACTAATTTTTGTTATTACAGTCGTATTGTAAGCGATTAATTCTTACTAAACACTAATTAAAACAGCCAATTGTTCATTGAAGGTCAGAATAATTGCACAGGTACAATTTATAATTAAGTTTAGAAAATTTAGAATAACATGTTGTGTATCTATCGATCTTTAGCTTATACATTCATCTATTTTCGTTAGATATTATTTAGAGGAAAAGGGAAATGTACATTTGACTTCAATATAGAAGATATATCTTTCGTTAATAATTGCATGAACAGAATTGTGTGCGCAAATGTACACAATTAATATATACTTACAAACAATTTTGCACAACAATCAATTAACAATATAAAATGTAATATAAATGTATATGCAGCGTCTCTTAGACTAGTACTTGGGGACCTGCAAAGAATGGAGGAGATATTTTATCTCGATACTGTTAAATATAACTACAAGATCTTTAAAAATACTTACAAAATGGCTGACAATTAATGTGTCAATCTGTCAATTCTTAGCGATATCCGGTCAGTATAGCCATTAACTGCAAGCTTGGCGGTAACTTTAAATATTAAGTATTAATCTGTAGCTATTTTGTATACAGAGTGCTACAAATTCGAGGTACGAGCATTGGTATCTCGGAAACCGTAATAGATACGAAGATGGTTAAATTGGAGCAAAGTTACGCCTTGAGATGTTCACCAAAATGCCATCAAAAAAGTTTTAAAAATTTCAAGGATTGCTGAGTTTTTTAGAAAAAAACGGATTTTTTGGAAAATCTATTTTATTTTTTCCTGTCGTTACTTTTTAGAAAATCCAAAAACTAATTACACATTCTCATAGCCACTTTATTAGGGCTATCTCATACTACTTTTAGATTTTCAAGTTAACTAATAATTTGTGAAATACAGGGGCCAACTTAGTTTTTTAAAATACGGACCTGCATTTTTTATTTCAGGTTTTGAAAGAAGTCTCTCAAGTACGACTCTGTTTTTTTAAATTATTTAATCTGATTATATTCATCGCAACAACATTGATCAGCGCTAATTAAATTGAGGAAAATGCATGTTTTTAAATAATTGTTTTAAAAAATAGTTCGTATAATTACAAATTGAACAAAAAAAAATTGTTGATATCGGTTAAGAAATGCCTCTAATATAAAATAATTAAATATTGTTAATTTAAATGGCCGGGCAAACGCTCTCTACCGCGCCTTGCCGCTGTGACGTCACCCGCCGTTCTTCTGGTTGAGTGGAGCCAGACGCGTGTTTATTTTACACAGTTTGCTTTTAAACGCTGTTGAATCCGAGTCAAAATTTTAGTTATTTGGGTTAATTAATACATAATTAGTAATTAGTGATATTTATAAATAGTAATGGATGAGCGAAAACAGAAAAAAAATGGTCCAAGGCCATGAGAAGAGATGAAAAGAAAAACGTTAAATTATCCTCTATTTTTACGATTTATTGTTGTGAAGATTATTTTGATGTAAGTTCATATATTTATGTATATTGTCTTACACAGGTATATGAAATTTGAATGTACAGGGTTATTCATTATATTTTGACACCCACATACAGCCTTAACTGCAAGTTTTAGAAGAAAACATTAAATAAAAAAGTTGCATGGTTTTTCATATACTCTCTTTTAAAATTAATTCTAGTTATACAGGGTGTGCCAAAAAAGGTGGTGCAGAAAATTGTAGG